AGCTTCTGCACATGCCGGCTTCAGGATTTTTTATAGCACATATACCGCCGTTGACGGAAATTGTACAACGGAATATTCCTCACATGCCCCATTATGAGGGGACCCTAGCCCTCCTTCCCTACCCTCACCATCTTTGAGAATGACTTTATCTGCCATTGCTGGAAGGCTCAAGAGTCCTACTGTGCTCGCAACCCCTGCTCTGGTATGCATCATACACGTGTTTGTACTGAAAGTTGCAGAGGCGTCTGAAAGCCCATATATTTATGTACTAGCCATTGAAAATCAGCCATTCTGATCCTTGTGGTGTTATGATTCAAGCTTGAGTGAACAGATACGATCTAGCTTCTTTACGCTTCGTGGCTTGACATGCTCCTCATTCTCCTTGCGGCCTGAGGCAATGCTCACATTTCACAGCGTTGATCTAGCGAGAGATAAACAAAGCGGACGAATCTTAAAGGCAGCGATTACGATAGATTCTGGAAGGGTTTAGAGGGGACGTGGGGGTCTCAATAGTACGCCAATGGCGAAAAAAGCAAAGAAATCCGTCAAAAATAAGCAAAATAGTACCCCTTTGATTGCCCTTTCATTTTCGACCATGGATGAGCGACGGACAAAGAAAGAAGTTGTTCGGACGTGTTAACCCCGATAGCCGCCATCATGCCAACAAGCATAGTGTTTTGATTGATAAGGCAATACGTGGGCAAGTTGGAAGATACAGCCGCTAGAAGGGAAATGATCATCCAAAATGAAAAGCCAACAGCAAACAGTCCATCCAGATCATCAACAAAACTAGTGGGCGTAACGCTGCTGGGGGCGGAGTGCTGCGGAGGTCCTGCTCAGCAACCACAGCACCTTTCGCCGTGGAAGCGCCACAATCGCTTCCTTGGCAGCCAAGTAACTGCTTCGTGTGGCGCATATCTCCCCCGATGCGGCCCTTCCTCATCGTAATCGCTTCCTTTCAATGGAAAACTTACATTGCGTTTTTCTATGAGTCATTTCCTCTGACAGCGTCACATCGAGAAATAACGATATTGCCGCAATTTCTGTTGCGGGTCCTTCGAGCCTGCGACCCTACACTTCTACACTCCTACTATCCCATACCCCGTGAGCAAAACCATCACCCGTTCGAATCATTCAAGCGGACGGCTGACCCGACAGAAACACCCATCCTAATCTGAACGTCTTATGGAATGCCATGTGACATATAAGAACAATTAACAAAAATATTTTATTGTTCCAGCACTTACACCACTTCTTTGGGATTCCTACGAAAAAAGAAGTAGAAGAACAAAATTCAAGGTAGCAATCTAAGAATGCCTAACGTTAACTAACTCGTCCAGGTAACCCATCGTGTTCAACAAATGCAGAGTTCGATGTCCTGTAGAATTCAATGAACCACATCACCAACTAATATAGTGAGCAAACGTCTTAATCTCATAATATTCCAGCGCAAATCCAAATCAAATGATTCTGAGGAGAATTTCCCAGAAAAGCTGAAGTTTGTTCGTGAGTTTCAGCTCATGATCCCTTCTAGTGCAGGGTCACACAATTCCAACCGCTAATTTAGCTCGTGACTGAACTAATTCCTCTTTCTCAGAAGCTCTCAATCTCCAAACATCGAAACCTCAGCACATCAAAAGCACCATTGACAAGGTTACACAGGAACATAGATTTCTTTACAAGTCATAAACTCTGAGATGATCAACATAACAAAAACCATGAGAAGCACCATTACGAGCACATCAATGAGAAGAATCGAATAAAATCTATAAAGCTATTGCATTATTATGAACCTGAAATAAAAGTGGAAATCGCTAGAGTGAAAGGCACAATCCATGAGAAAATCCAAATAAAGAAGCAACCTTCCGAACTAGGTCAAGTCAACTCCATCTAAACGTTTACTAAATCGTCAACAGTCTAATTAGCTGCTTTCGCATCTCTTCTGCACCTTCACGATCTAACTGTTGCGAATCATCAGAAGAGTATCCCTTTTTCTCGCAGAAGACGAAGGGAATTTCGAAATGAATCCGAATTCACTGCTTCCACTGAAAATGCTTTTTCGTAAGACCGAAAACTGACTGGGTATTGAGGTGTGGACAGTTTCCGCATATTTAAGAAAAGTAAGCGTTGAATATAAAAGCAGACGATGCGATAATTTGACCGCCAACGGAAATGATTGTAGAGGTGCTAAACGGCGCATTGGTCGTAAAAACGAGTGAAAAATCTTGCTGCGAGATACGATCCTTTTTTGCTAGCTGGCTCCTAAGATCGTCATTAGTGAGAATGCCATAAGCTGCCTTCCTACAATCCCTCGCTTCGAGCTTCACCCCCCCCCCCCACCTCCACGGAGAAGGCCTTAGGCCGCTACAGGGCGCGGTCGCTTTCAGGAGTGCTGCATCTCGCTATTTAACACATTCACGACGACGCCCCTTTTCCACTTTTCGGTCGCGTGGGACGGACGCGATTTTGTGGGCGCCGCCGCCTCACCACATAACCGCAGATTTTGTTTTGTAAATGAACAAAAACATGAATGTCACAAAATAATTTCTGCAATGTCCAATGCGTAAAGATTATCTAAACATATAACAGTAGGATTTCGATCAGAACGACAAATAGTGGTTACGAAAAGAGAGCATTTATTCACTTTCCCCGTGAAGGAATTTAAAAGCATTTTACACTCGATTACGAGGATTTGCCCACCTATCTGTCCATTCCTAGCGCCTGGCAAGCGATTATCTGGCAGCCCATATGGGCTGCCATCGTCCCAGGAGCGCATGTTGTTGGCAGCCCATATGGGCGGCCATCGGCGTGAATGTGTTAAAGACATACTAATCGATTCCGTCACCGATCATGTAGACTGATGGGTGCGTTGATGTGGCGCCGACAAGGGCGTTAGAAGCTCTCTCAAACCGTAATCGGGTCTTCGGCAAGCCTTGCTTCTCCCGTAGATGCAATAGCAAGACGCGGCCGCAATTCTCGGGTGCCAGCGTTGCGGCCGAGCTGCTAACATGAAGCCAGCGGTTCCGAAAATTAGTTCCAAAGCGCATACCTACTATAACTGCCTTGGCCAGGCCTGGTTAAGAGGGGTCCTGACCAAAACTTCTCTAATACTTTCCTCAGGTTCTACAAGCACAGCATCCAGAACTTCGTATTTGAATAGCGTATCAACGTTCTTTGACCGGATGCTTTGCCTTCGAGGCTTCCCTTTACAGAACAGATACCACTTTCCAACAACAGTTAATCGTAGTTCTGCCTTTAGAATGGCTTCCGAATAACATATGTCAATCACTGACCACACGACATGCAATATGTTTGAACTTACATAGAAGTGGAAAAGGCGTCTGATATTCTTCGTTGACACAATTGCTACACCACTCACGAATCATGGCTGTCTCTGAAGATGTTTGCCATTAATTCTGGATTAGCGTACTTCCACTACACAACAACGCACCTCTTGAAATCGCG